GCCTGGGCCGTCTCTCCCCGCCGCTCCTTTGTTGAGACTCCGTGTATATGTGCAGAGGTTAGCGATTCTCGAACTGCTGTCACATTCGAAGTCCTCTTGGAATTCGGAACGCCCATGGTGACAGGCGAGGCGGGGATCGTTCCTTTCGGCATGTAGCTGATTAAGATAATTTCCCGTATGTTACATTATAATAGTTTGCTCGGGGAGCCCCCCACATTGTAAATTCGCATCCTTTTTTTTTTTTTTTTTTTACAGAAAACCGAAATTATAGAAGAGGCTTTCCCTGGGTGAGTATATGCATGGTAGATTTTTTTTGTGTTTTTTACCTTAGTGTATCTTTCTAAGATTTTTGCTTAGTTTTGCCTTGGGGGTTTCTAAGAGCCACTGTTCTAGTTATGTTGGATGACCTTTTTCATACTAGTGGCAAATAAAGTGATTTTTGTTTATAGAATGTTTATGGACACTCCTGAAGATGAAAAGACAAAACTGATTAGCTGCCTGGCGGCCTTCAGACAGTTTTGGGGTGGTCTTCCTCAGGTGAGTACCGCATTTTTAATACATTCAGTGGATGATTTTTGACCCCTTCTGTTTTAAACATTTACTTTGATGTTGCTGTTGAGGTTTTCCTTGGAAGGGAGAGAGAAAATTGTCTTTATCTTTTATTTGTCTATTCTGGTTTCCATTTTTTCCAATTTGTATTCTTCCAGTGGAGACCCCGTATTGAGAAGTCAAGTGGATGACAGCACAGTGTGAGGTGTTAAAAATCTCCCCGTGTTAGATTATATAATACCATTTTTATCCTATTCTGACTTGTTTGGTGCACTTGAAAACAACTGTGTTAGGGATTATAAAGGATAAAAATTGCATTCATTTTCTCAACAAAGGAACTGGCATAGTATAGTGAAGCTACTACTATATTAAAGATATAAAAATGCCACAATAAGGATGCATGATTTTACAATAAGGATATGAAGATATAATAAAAGTAAAGGAAAAAACAGTAAAATTTAGTAACAGAGAACATTCGCCAGGAAATGTATCCTTGAAAAAGACAAAACGTGTGATCCTTAAAGAGTTTGAGTTCCAGCAGTGCATTTTCTTCTCATGGTTCATTATAGGTAGGAAAATGTTTGCAGTTGAGGCACTGGTGGTAAGACTTGCTGCTCAGACATGGATCAGATGATGGCAATACATTCATTTTTTTAAGCGTCTTAATTGGTAATATATTCATATAGTGCAAAATGTGAAAAAGTAGACCCAATTAATAGTTTTCCTTTCACCTCTCTTAGCTTAATTACCTGCTCTTTTTTTTCTGTCTGCAGCCTGTATGCTCAGTTTATGTTTCCTTCTAGAAGTATTTTATGCACATAGGATCATTTTTACAGAATGGTTATATACTGTGTACACTGTTCATTCGCACCTTGCTTTTTTCTCCCTCAGTAAATACTGAAAATAATTCTACAGCAATCCACTAAAAGTTAAAATTTCTGCCTTTCTCCCTGTCTTGCAGCATAATATTCTATTTTATGGCTGTACCTTCCTTAACCAGTCTCCTACTAACTGACATTTAGGTTGCTTCTTACTTTTTCTACATTAAACAATACAAAATGAATGATATCATATACGGACACAGAGCAAATACTTGGAAGTAGTATTGCCTAGTAGAAATTGCTTAGTCTTATATTTTTAAAAAATATGTTTTTATTGATTTTAGAGAGGGAAAGAGAGAGAGAGAGACAGATAGAAACATCAATGATGAGAGAGAGTCACTGATTGGCTGCCTCCTGCACACCCTGCACTGGGGATTGAGCCTGCAACCCGGGCATGTGCCCTGCCTGGGAATTGAACCTCTTGGTTCATGGCTCAACCACTGAGCCATGCCAGCCAGGCCCTAGTAGTCTTTTATAATGGTCACCAGTTTATACTCTCATTAGCAATGTATGAGACTATATATTCCCAGTAGTCTCACAATAGAGTGTTAATGAACTTTTTGATCTTTGCTGATCTAAAGCATGAGAAATTTTATTTCAGTATAATTTTATTTTGCATTTCTCTGAGTAATGTTGAACATCTTTTCAAAATATTTAAAATTTTTAATAATTCATTAAACATTTTATGAGGTAAGATATGGTCCTTGTCTTGAAGAAGATTATATTGTAATGGGGAGCCAGGAAGAAAGTAGGTATTTCTAAATCTGTGTGATACATTCAACAATAGAAGTATGTACACTATGAGGGACAGTGGTAGTACAGAGGAACAGGACATAGACTCTTGAGGACATCCTAGAAGACAGACTTTGATATGGCACTACATTTCTGTATCAGGTTTAGTTATACAAGTTTAGAAATTAGCTGTGTCATTGGATTCATATTTGGACTCTTAGGGATCAGATTCACACTAAATTCTCATGAGCCTGATGTACTAACTAACCCATAATGAATTTTCCCCCCAGTGACAGGAATATTTCTATCTGCCATTAAATAGATTACTGCTTACAATGCCTTACACAATCTGTGTTAGAGTTTTCTATTGACCACAAATATGTTAATGATATCTTACTCCTTTTAAAGTTCCCATGTAATAAAAACGGGGGTTTAATCTATACAATTATAAGAGTTTAAGCTTAATATAACTGAAATACTAAATCTGAATCTTTTTTTTAATTGCCTTTATCCACAAATGTTTATAGTAGAGTATCTCATTCACAGTCTTGATATACTCACAAGTATAATCTTAGCTATTTGTTAGTTTTAAGATATAACTTTAGACTTAAAATATAATCATTTTCTAATTTTCCAGGAATCTCATGAACAGTGTATCCAGTGGCTTGTTAAATTCATTCATGGCCAGCATAGTCCTAAAAGAATTTCTTTTCTTTATGACTGCTTAGCAATGGCAGTCGAGACTGGCCTTCTTCCACCCAGGTATGTTTAATGGTGGGTGTGAGCAATCCAAAGAATTATTATTTTTTTTATTAATGCTTGGAAATTGGTCGAGGTTGTTGTTGTAAAAGGATAAAGAAATGAAGAAGGAAGTTAGGTTCAACAAACAATCCTTAAACCATGACCGGGTAGTTCAGTTGGTTAGAGTGTCGTCCCTCTACCCCAAGGTTGTGGGTTGAGTCCCTCATCAGGGCACACAGAAGACTCAACCAATGAATACATAACTAAGTGGAACGACAAATTAGTGTTTCTCCTACTCTCTCTCTCTCTTTCTCTTTAAAATCAATAAATAAAATTTTTTTAAAAAAAGCAATCCTTCATATAATACCTCAGGTTTTAGTTTCTAGGATACAGTATTCTTGAAAAGAATTTTTTTTATTGATTTTTTTTTTTTTTTTTTTTTTTTTAGGGGAAGTTTAGACCCCATGCTTCTCTCTGGATCAGTACCAGTTTCCAATGGAATGCCAATCACAGAACATCTAAGCCAGTAGTAGACAAGTACAGTGGGTCAACTTGGACTAATGACACCTCTCTAAAGCTGGGAATGGGGTGAATACTCCCTGAGTCATGTAGTCTCCATGTGTCATGGGACATGGGGTTAAGAAATGCAATTTGAATTCTTTAGGAAGGAAGGAGGGAGGGGGAAATGCATGCATGAGCCATTTAGAGTAAATATACGGAAGAATAATCCAATAAGGTGATTCTGAATGTTGGAAACATGTAGNAGTGATCAAACCCACAACCTTGGCATAGTGCGATGATGCTCTAACCAACTGAGCTAACTGGCCAGGGCTAGGGTACCGTATTCTTAGAATTGTATATTTACAGGTTCTAAAACAGGCTGGCTTTGCCTTTCAGCCCAGGGGCTAAAATTACTCACTTTGATTACCTTTTTCTAGTTAACTTTTGCTTCACCTCAACACTTCATACCCTAAAACAATAATCATTTTATTATTAAAACTCATGGTTAATGGTGGTTGACTGGGGTTATTAGGCAGTTTTTTCTCAGGGTCTCGTGATTACAGTCAGACAGTAGCTAGGACTGGAGTCATAACAGAGGTTCCCCATTCGTATGTCAGGTGGCTGATGCCGGTCTATCATCTGAGACCTCGATTGGGGCTGTTGGCCAGAACCTGCACATGCCCTCTCTATGTGACTGGACTTTCTCAAAGCGTGGGGGACTCCAAGAGCAAGCATTCAGAAGAGGGTTTGGCAGAAGCTGTATCGTCTTGCTTTGGAAGTCGTGCAGCGTCCCTTTTGCCATGGCCTTGGGCCTGTCCAGATTTAAGGGAGGAGAATGTAGAATCTCCTCCAAGCTCTTCATGGGAGGAATATCAGTGTCATGTTTCAGGCGAGCATGAGGATGAAAAATCTTACTGTAGCCATCTAGGGAAAATACAATATGCCACAAGCGGATAGATGGTAAACATTTAACCATCTATCTTTAGCTAGATTTCTTTCTAGTAAAAGTATAATGAGTAATATTTAGTTCTACTTTGTGTTTATTCTTTCAGAGAAGTAAAATATGTAAAATACTATACTTTTTTTTTAAATGTGCTTGAATGATAATGTACTTTTATGAAAAATACTATGACAAATATAATATCCAGAGTATACAGACCTTGGCTATTAGAGAACTTCCAAAATTCTGTCTTATAATTGGAATGGGTTTTTTTTTTTCTAGGATGGTTTGTGAATCCCTGATAAACTCTGATACTCTTGAATGGGAAAGAACACAGCTTTGGGCCCTAACATTTAAACTGGTTCGGAAAATAATTGGTGGAGTGGATTACAAGGTATTTTTTGCTAATTATAAAAAGTGATCTCTTTCAGACTGAATTAATTTTTCAGTTGTATGCATCTTAATTTCACATGGGAGAAATGAAGCATTTACAAAATCTATTTTGTGTTGTTTATTTCCTAAAAGGCTTTAAAATTAATGTTTCCTACAGCTTCCTCTCTTCCCAAAATAAAAATGCAGGTGGCTAGTATGTTTTTATGATGAGTTGGCAAGTTGCCAAGCAGACTTTGGGTTTTTTCATGCCACAGATCTTATGATGTTGGGGCCCCTTTCAAGTGAAAGCACAGCGGAGGGGTGTGTGGAACTGAGAAGAGATGTAGGCATCAGCTGATGAAGGGAGCAAGCCCTGCTTCACCTCTGCCTTGACCTTCCTTGCCCATGTGTCCTTTCTTAACTAGTATCTTTGACACTCTGAACTTGACCAAAAACAGCAGCGTATACTCTCTAATTAGTCTTGTAATACAGCTCAGTATTTCAATAGCTGCAAAAGACATTCTGCTTCATTCAAGCTGCTTTTGTTATTTTTCTTTTTGAAAGAATTGCCAATACCTGACCCTGTGCTTTATGCCTGTATTTTCTCTAAAATGACTTAATTGATAATTACGTATTTGATTTATGACTTAATACAATATTTTTCTAAGAAGCTTTTTCTGATTATTTTTTCTTTACTTCAGTTTCCTTAGCATGTTAATACGCAGTTTTTATCTTTTTATTTACATGGTGCTTTATAATTTTTTCTAATTTTTCTCATTTATATGTTTTCTCTATCTTTTTTACAAGATTCATCACCTAGTTTATACTCAACAAATGCATATTGAATGAAATTTCTTCTCTGTATATCAGATTCTGCTCTGAAATAATGTAACTTGTTATAGATATAAGGAGATGAATGATTAACAAACTAGCCTTGTTGGATAAATTTGAAGGATTACGGTATGTAATGGATGAGAATGGAAACAAAAGTTAGAATATGCCAAAGGGAGTGAGCAGAAAGGGTCATCTGCCAGAAAAGTTTAATATTTTTGTCCATATTTTCAGGTTCTATTCAAATATATTTGTCTGTAAGCCAAAATCAAGCTTTTCTGACCTTCATAACTATAGAAACTCTTAGCAAAGTGTGGAAAGTTAAATTTTTATTTATTAGTGACTTTCTTGGTTCATTCATATGACAAGGCATTGTTTAGAATTCTGTTTTGGAACATAACTCATCTCTTGGGTTAATGTTAGGGATTTGAATATTAGCTCTGATTCAGAAGAATTGGAGGTGTGACTTTGAAGGGAACTTTTTTTCTGAGTGTATAATCTTGAAACCTTTAGATATTTTAACCAGCAGAGGGGACATTACATAGTTAACCTATGGATTTTTTTCTTATATTAGGGTGTTCGAGATCTCTTAAAAGTGATTTTGGAGAAAATCTTGACAATTCCCAATACAGTGAGCTCAGCTGTTGTACAGCAGCTACTAACAGCGAGAGAGGTAATTTAAACATGTCTGCAATGCATTGATCTTAACCTCAAAAAAATAGTTTTATATAGTTCTGTGCTTTTAAAACTTATAGTAATTTGTGGAATGTTCCATTTGTTTACTTCTACAAAAATCACTTTTTTTGAGAGAGAGAGAGAATGTTTATTAATTCTGGGGATAGTGAAACAAAGAAGGGCTTAGGATAGAGGAAGCAACAGAACAGAGCCTAGTAGTGGGTGCTTTGGCTCCTAAAAATGTTATAGGAAAAAAATGAGCCTAGGTGGGGCTGTTTTGGCTCACTGGAAAGTCAGAGAAAAGGGGTCCTTTGGAGGCAGGTGTGGGAGGGGGCTGCTCATTGCTCCCCTGGTTGGAAGTCCCTTGGGGACCCTTAGAGTTAGGAGATTCATGCCTCTTAGGAGCATGCCCAAAAATCACTTTTAGTTTTAAAGATGCTATTTTACTTTTTAATATTTTGATTAATTACATGGGTTTTAATTGTAAAAACAACAATATAGATAGTAAAGTACTTTTGGCCATTACAAGATGTCAGCCTGTGGACCACTTAAAAGATCTTTGTGCTTTGTAACTAATGTTGCAAGAATTGTTGCTTTGGTCTTTTGCTCTCCTCTTGGAGTCTACCAATATTTAAAGTATTTTTAATGTTACTAACCATCAGCAGTCGTTCCATTGTTTATTAATATTCATTTTTAGAGATTCTTCACATATAAGTGAATTCCTTTGTCCTAGAGTTTAAGCCAAATAAATTACTGAAATAATATTTCTACTTGTTAATGTATTTGTTGTTGTTACATTTAAAGGGCTTATCTATGAGACTAGTCAAGAATAACATTGCCCTTTTATTTTTCTCAGGTTATAGCATACATCTTGGAAAGAAATGCCTGTTTGTTACCAGCCTATTTTGCAGTCACAGAGATCAGAAAACTATATCCTGAGGGGAAACTTCCACACTGGGTAAATTTGATATTTTCCAAAGTTTTTAATAGCAATTTTTATAAAAAATAGTTTTGTTAATCTTATTTTTTGTGCTTATTTTTAAAATGGTCACTTTTAACCTTAGATACTATGTATTTTTTATCATTATTTTCTATTTCTTTCATTGCTCTGCTGTTCTGATGAAACAGTTTATATACCATGTGATTAAAATATACATTGCTTCATCATATAGCTAGGGACATTGTGGTATTGGTAAGTAATTGTTTGGAAGGAAGAAAAAGAGAACTAACCTTTGAATAATTTTAATGTGCCAGGCTTTATACTAAATCTTTACACATTATCTCATTTTATGTACATGATATTCAGAGCAGTCTTGATTTTATTTTTATTCTTGTTTTTTGTTTTGTTTTTAGTTACTTGGAAACCTGGTATCAGACTTTGTGGATACCTTCAGGCCCACAGCAAGGATAAACTCCATTTGTGGTAGGATTATAATTTAAAATACTAAATAGTGTGTGATTTTTAATGACCTGACTATAGAACAGAGTTGACAGTCTCTTACACATGTTTTGGTGGCTTGTGTTTTTAGTAACTCTCTAGGAGCTTAATAATAGTCTTTAACTTGTTTTCAGGTACTCTGTGTGCTGAATGAAGGGAGGGAAAAGCAAATGTCAGGACTGGGTCTAAGCTTCATATAAAACCATCCTGGTGATTAAAGGGAACTTCGAATAGAGCTAGTAAAGCACCGTGGAATCTAAGCAGATGGAAATCTTTATAGACCTGTTCCTCTGTGGACACAATACACAATGCTGTCAGGCTCTTTCAGCCCATTCCAGTTCACACCTTTGCTCTCTATTTCATTTTATTTTATTTTCCATTTTTTCATGTTTTATTAGATTCTCAGAATTTTCTTTTAAAAAAAAACATGATTTGGCAGTGTTTGCAGTGCCCATATATATTCCTGAATTATTTCTAGTAATCATGGTGGCCTCAGAACTGTCTGGGAATATAGACCATTATTTAGCCAATAGCACTTCCTACGAGCTGGGTGCTCTTCTGCACACTGAAATACAAAAATAAACTAAATAAGCACTAGACAGATAATTCTCAGGCTTCTAGCTTTTGTAACTGAGTGGATATTGATATCATTTAATGAATTACAGAAGTGATGCAGGTTTGAGAAGGATGGTGATGAGTTCAGTTTAACTCATTAAGTTGAGCTTCACATACCCACAGGCCATCCAAGTGGCAATGTTCATCAGGCAGTTAGATATATGTGCTGGCAGTCATATGCTACAACTAAGGCCTCTAGGAACGTCATGGTTGAAGTTAATCATGTTGACCCTAAACTAGAGAGGTCTGCAAACTTTTTCAGTAAATGATGATACAGTAAATATTTTAGGTTTTGTAGGCTATTCGGTCTGTTGCAGCTACTCTATTCTGCCATGGTAGTGCAAAAGCAGCAGTGATCCAATAAAATTTGGCAAAAATAGGTAGCAAGCTGGAATTGACCCATGGATTAGAGTTGGCTGACTTCTGTCCTAGATATTTGGACAAATGCAACATTTTTGAGTTTGGAAGGCCTGTACAAATTGGTATTGGACTTCGGAGATGCCTTCAGATCCACAGTATGTTCACAACCTTACAAATTGGTCTCCAACCATCTGGACTAAAAATAAAGAAAATTTCCAAATTTTTATCTAATTAAAACATTTTTAAAACCGGCGTCTGGTTCAGTGTAGATATTTATTAACTATTTGTAGTGTAATGAAAGACCAGGCATTGTTATGTTCGCATTTACTTAAAAACATATTTTGTAATACAGGCCGCTGCAGCCTTCTACCAGTTGTAAATAACTCAGGTGCCATTTGTAATTCATGGAAATTGGATCCTGCAACTCTTCGTTTTCCTTTGAAAGGCCTTTTGCCATATGATAAGGTATGTTGCTAAATAAAAAGGAACTTTTGGCCTAACAGTCTTTATCCTGCATTAGATATGTGATGCTAAATTGAAGAAATAAATATTTTTTAAATTTTTATTTATTGATTTTTTGAGAGAGAGAGAGAGAGAGAAACTTCTGCTCATTGTTTCACTTATTTATGCATCCATTGGTTGATTTTTGTATGTGCCCTGGACAGGGATCAAACCCTCAACCTTGTTGTATCGGGACAGTGCTCTAACCAACTGAGCTAGGGCTGAAGAAGTAAATATTTAATGAAAGACAGTGCATGGTTTAACGTGTCATTCCGTATCCAAGTGTACTCTGGTTTGTGATATTTCAGGTATTTAGGCTCCAGCAGTCCACCTCTGGCAGAGTACTTGGAGTGAGAAAACTGACTTTAAAATTGATTCCTTGTTTTTATTCTTGCTTTACAAAGGGAGGAATGAATTTGCAGTGTCCTTAAAATTTGCAGAGTGAGCCTCCAGTTTGTTAGAGTTTTAAAGTGGGGACGGGACAAAAGTGCAGTAGAGAATCTCAAAGGAAAATAAACCCACAAATATTAATAAAATTAAACATGAGGTAAAGACATAAAGCTATAATGAAATTTGATCTAGCATTTTGTTATCCTGGTGGTTGGCGTGATAACAGAGCAGGTATGGGGAGGGCTGGGTGTAAATGTTTCATGTCAAAAGTGATATATAGAGTAATTAGGAAACTTTCCAAATGTGAGGAGGGTGGAATAGTGAGAGTAAGGTGGCAGTCTGAGCTCTTGGCATATTAGTCAGGAAACTTTTTTTTTAAAATTAAGTTTATTGAGGTGACAATGGTTAATATGGACATACAGGCCTCAAGTGTGAGTTTCTATGTTACAAGACCTATATAGTCAGAAAACTTTGGAATGTGAAGAAGTGGTAAACTAAATGGAATTTACTGTCATCATGATAGCAATAATAATGAAAACATAAATTTATTGTGTGCTTACTATGTGCTGGGCAGTGTTCTAAAAACTTTACTTTGCAAAATCATTATTTTTAATTATCATCTTAATATCTCCATTATACAGATGATGAAACTGAGACACAAAGTGGGTAGTAACTTGCCTAAGGCCCCATGTTTAGGAAGTGGTAGAATCAGAATTTGAACTCAAGCAATGTGATACCAGAACCTATACTTTTAAACCCTGTGCTATCAAGTCATTTATACTCTCCAAATTTGGAAATAGTGTTTGTTTTCACTTGTATGAGGTCACTGGAAACTGCCTCCATTTCTCTTTGATTAGATTCTGAGCAGAAAATCCTTTCCTGACAGTGATACCTAAGACTTTCATGAGGCTAGCTGAAGTCATTTTTAAGTTTATACTCTATAACTTTGGGCAAATCACTTTGCCTCAGTCATCACTTATCAAATAAAAGGTGGGAATAGATTAACTGCAAGCACTAAAATCCTATGATTTTTTTTCTCACTAGATACTGCCTACTGTGTGCAGGTAACAAGTGCCTTTAGAGGATTTTTTTGATCCCAATTTCAAATTATTTGAATTAACATTTACTATGATCTTGAAGCAATAATTGTTTTTTATTTTCTTTAAAGGATCTGTTTGAACCACAGACTGCTTTGTTGAGATATGTATTGGAGCAGCCTTATTCCAGGGATATGGTCTGCAATATGCTAGGTTTAAATAAGCAGGTACTGTACTATGCTGGAAACCTAGTAAATTCTGCATAGAATCTGCACTATTCCTTTCTCTTTTCTTTGCTATAGCTAACTGAGCAAAACAGTTAAAAACTATTTGGTGATTTTCATTTTTAAATATATGATTTATTAAACCTATGTATTGTTCCTATCATATATATATATTGCTTTAAGAATGTTTAAATTGAAAAGGAGATATTAAAGTTGATTTATTTTGCATTGCTTTTTTTTCTATAAGGCCAGTTTCAAGTATACCTTTTGCCAGAGAAACCTACACATGACTTAACCATAATTTACTTCTTTTGTTGTTGGGGTATCCTTTTTTATAACCCTTAGTATCTTCAGCGTGGGCTCATTGCTGACCTTTTTTTTCTTTTTTTTTTTGGTGTATGTTTGTTTTTGGTGGTTTAACATGTGGGAGGGTTTGTGCTGACTCTGGGTTCCTTGAGGCTGGCCTCATAGTCACTGTTTTGTCTTTTCTTTTTTTCTTCCTTTATTTTTGTTCTGTCCTGTCTTGTCCTGCCCATCCTCCAATGCTCTAGACCTTGAACATTGCTCAGGTATGTTCACAACCTTACTGTTGTATTGTGACTAACGATACGCTGGCCGCTTTGTAGCCACTGATTCCATTTAGAGAATACATGTATGGTCGGGGCTTGAAATTGGCAGGACCATGCTGAGACCAAGGCCACGAAAATGAATTTCTTCTTGGGATATGAGAGTTGTTTTTGGTGGATTGTTTTTGTTTTGGTTTTTGGTATTTTTTTCTTTTTCTTTTTTTTCTTTTTACCAAAGAGACAACACCTGCCACACAATAAAGCCTGTCACTTTTCGATGGGTTATTTTTCCTTCCCACTCCATTTTACTCTTCTTCATACTTTAGGGCTAAAGCTAGCCTGGTGTAATTTTTAGAGATGGAAAGATTTGTGGTGGCCTTTATCTTTCCAGACTTTTAAAACATACATAAATAATAACATCAATAAAAATACTTATGTTGCTTTGCCTTAAAAAAGAAAACAAATTAAAAACAAAACAAAGAAGAGAAAAAAAAAAAAAGCACTTTAATAGACATGTTACTTTTAAAAGTTGGAGTGGTAAACCTTATACAGGGAAGGCTTTTTTTTTGGAAATATGGGGCTTGACTAAGAAATGTCACACTCTTAGGTGACCCCACACCTGCCTGACAAACACCCTTCTTTGTCAATCTTTGCCAGAGGTGTCCTCCTCCGAGAGTGGGCTCCTCTCAGCTGATGCTCACCTATGGCAGGAGAAGAACACTATGGCCAAACTTATAAATCAAGCTCTTACAGTCCCAAGTCTGTTCCTGGACTTTTCACCTTGGAGATTTTAAGCAAAATAGCCGTTCCAATTATTTTTGTTAAAAATTTTTGAGCCCAACATATTAAAATAGACCAGCTTTTTTATTTTAAAAAGACGTTCTTGTCTAGGTTATATAAAATAGCGTTACTGTTTGCAATACTATAGTGAAGGTTGTGCCAGTGCTTCCATTTATAAAGCCCTATTTTTAAGGACATATAGCTTGGCCATAAAACTTGCTCAGTGTTGAAACTTTGCATGCCAAACCTCACCCTAGTAGCAGTATCTCTTTTATTATTTTAAGTTTCTCCTTCTGAAAAATTTACCAAGCCTCCTTGTTTGGACAAGCCTTTGTACATGTGAAAATGAAACTGCTTCACACTATAGTAGCTGACAGTTACCTCATATAAACAGTCTGTCAATGTAACACCTTAAATACCTAGTCATTAATTCTCACCTGTCACTTGAGTTAGAGGTAAGTATTCAGTCACCTTTGAAAAAACGCTTCACGCTGTGTCTTAAAAACAAATTTTTGCAAAGAACTTTAAATCAGACTTGCCTCAGTTTTTTTACAGTTTGGTGGATAAATGTACCTATCGTCATTTGAGCTGCGAGTACCTTCTCCCAGATAGCCTTAGCTATCATTGCTTCTTTCTTTTGGGGGGCAGCTCTACTCAAACCCAAAATTGACAAAACAACTCAGAGAAGAGTATCTCTGATCTGATCATTTTAATAACAAGTTTCAACCTAAAAAAAGTTTATGACTAAGACATAAATCCATAAAAAATAAAGTTTATAATGGAAATGCTGACAGAACATTATTACTATTGGTCCCACTGAAGTGTAAACATTGTCAGAAATTTACAGTTCATCATTAGTTGCTTTGGTAGAAAACTCTGTAGTGAGTGTACTTGTAGATGGAAGATATATGCTGAATTGACTTGCTATGTTATGTTTACCACCTGTAAAGTAGAGAAGAAAATGAGAACACACAGTATAAGAAGCATATGATTAAAAATAAGCAAGTTGTCACCTCTTATATCATTACAAAACTATAGCCTGCACTGTACTTTCTTGTCCTTTCTCTAGCAATGCAGTAATTAATGAAAGCTTAAAACCTTTTAAGAGCTGTCCATATTGCATTTTCCAGTAGGAATTGGGCTATATTTTATTTTAAAATTGGTCACATTTAGAATGTCATAAATAGCGCAGTTCTGTGACCAGCAGGGTGGAGTATTCACAGTAGAAGAATACTGTTTGGTGTGTTTATACGAGTTTGTGTTCTTTCTATTGAATAAGAGCATTACGAAACATATTCCTCAGGCTCTTGTGTGGTGGTGTGGGAACTCTGGCTACCCTGAGGCAGTGAGGTACTAGACTAATCACTGTTTTTCTTTGAAAGGCACCATTGAAAGTGATATTAACTGGCATAGTTCTCCAGTTCTTTTTGGCAGAGAATATAATAAATGACATACAAAGGGATATTTTTTTCCCAACTGGTACTGAATAGATATTGCTTTAAAATTGTTTTCTAGCACTGAAATAATGATTTAAAATTAAGTCCACGTAAGTACAATATGTTAAAATTTCACCAAAAAAGCAGTATCAGAACTATTACCTGAAAGTGTTAGAGGCCACTTACCCTAATATGGTTACTAAGACTGAAAAAAGCCTTATCATTTGCCATTGAAGTCATGATGGGAAAGAGGGGCATGGGTGGAGGTTAATGTTAATGTTTGTGTCAGTGCTTCCACTTTTTAATAAAAGTGGAAAATTTTAAATGTTAATATAGTTTGAGCAATTATGCAGAATTTGAATTGTTAAAATACTGAATTTAGATTCTTATTGTTAAAAGAGTTTTTAACTAAATATGCATATAGAGATGATGTAAACTAATTCAACTTATATGTTTATATAATGAAGTCTTAAATTTATAAAAGCTTTCCGAAAGCAAGTTGTAACCATTGACGGACATAGTGCCCATTGGCTTACATAATTATCCAGCCTAGTGACTGATAATTAACCTTTATTTATAGATCATTTCACCGCTTTGCAAATTTTCATTTGTTCCACTTTGTAAAAAAAATCTATGTGATGGAGGGTCTTAATTTTAAAGTACTTACTTTAGTAATTAAAAACTAAAGCAAAACTTATTATTCTAAAGTAGTTATTAGTAGCATAGATCATTTTCTTTTTTGGTATTATTAAAATTGGCAAATAAACAAAGAAACATGTTTAAGCTATCCTTAAACTTGGTATGAGAAATATGCTTGGCTTTAACCAAAAACACTTGAAAAATATAGAGTTAATCCTGAGAGATGTTCTGCCACCCTCACACACCGGGGCGTTTAGGCACCATAGAGATCCCTAACTGATTTAATTCTTTACAGAAAATTTGGATGTAATCTTGAGTCTTGGTATGTATTGAAAAATCATCAGCTTTAACTATAAATTTCCTTCTTATTTTGTCAAAATATATTTCTTTGTCGAAATCTTAATATTTTTGTTTTCCTTCTTAAATCATTAACTGTATGACCATCACTACACCCCTAAAATATGTAGGTAAAAATCCAGATTTAAAAAAAAAATAGCAGATGTTAAAAAGGGTAATTCCCAAATGACTCAGATGCTAAAACCAATTTTATTTAGTTTGCTCTTTTTCCCTGAAGCAGATTGATGAAAGACCATTATGGATGGAGGAATAGGTAACAGATTGGTTAGTTTCCAAACTACAAGCAAATTCCCATCACTAATGAAAAATTCCTACTGGAAATAATGGCTTTACTTCTTTTCACGAATTTTTCTGACTCTTATATACTTTGAATGATCTCACTCTAAATTTGTGTTGTCTGGCACATTTCTTAGGTTGTTGGTGGTTGGCAGAACTAGTGAATTTCAAGCCCTGTACACAGTAGTTTTGCATGCTGTTTAAGAAATAGTTTGTAGTGTTGTCTGTTGCACTTTGCTCTGCTTCATAATGATAATTACATTTGGAGGAAAAGTACTGTAGTCTCAACTGGTGGTGTTAATATTGCTCTTTGTAAACCTGTAATGTGGTTGAACTGTGAACATGGCATTGTGTTTTTGGAAAAAATATGAAACAACCATTGATGCTTACTGTTTTGGATAGATGTTTGTTTTATTTGCATGCTTTAAGAAAGTGCAGCTATATTGGAGCTTTACAAGTTTGAAGCTGGCAAAGAGCATGCAAAAGAGGGGATGCTATTCATTATGTTTTGTTTTTTTTCCAAATTTGTCCCCATTTTGCATTTTTTCCCTAAATTTAAGGAAATCATATCCCTTTTTCATGGCAAAAAAAACTGATTACGCCTAAAGTCTGCAAGGAAAGCATGTATCTTAGTACTTGTGTTCATTAGAAAGGCATCTAACTGCCTGGCTATTAAGCCATATAACATATTTTTTAAAAGAAATATGAAAATGTATAAAATATGGCTTAACATACATCTTTTGGTAAAAATATTTTTTTTAAATCACTTTAAAAAGCCTAAATCATTTTGCCTCTAGAAAGGGAAGTTGCATTTTCATTTTTAGTGTTTAAACTCAGTTCTTTTTCTTGTTTTAGATTTTAAAATAGTCTAATTTACAATTAAAGCTGCATTATGTTTGACTTCTAAGAGAGAAGAGCAGAGATTAACTTTGAGACCATTTTTTTCTTGTAGAGAAAGTTTCCATTTCAGTATCAGGATCCATAATACACATTAAAAAACATTTATTGAGTAATCTGGCAGCTATTTTTGTACACCTATGTATATTAAGTTAGAGTAACCTTGTGATGATTACTTTAAAATAAATTCACACACTTCTTTGCTCTCCTATCAAAATGTTTGATTCCTACAGATCCAGGATTTTCATATTTTGAATTAGATTGCAAAATTAATACTTATATCTCCATTTCATATGCCTTTTATATTAACTTTTTTCAAAGGATAAATAACAAAATTTTCTACTCTGAAGTGCCTTTTTGTCAAATTGAAATAATGATGTCTGTAGTAAAAGTCAAAAGTTAATGGGAAGTCTGTCTGTGTGAGACCTGAAAAAAAAGATTATTTATGAAACATCCTCCATGATAATGTAACATGATGCAGCTTTAATAGACTAAATCTAACCTTAACTTTCTAAGTTCAACTTCATTTCATGCTTCTCAGCCTCTTGTTACAAATAATTCCCATTAACTGGTAACTTAGGAAACTAACCAGGAGGCTTTTGGAATACTGTATTTAATCTCTGCCCTACAGCACAAGCAGCGCTGCCCTGTGCTGGAGGACCAGTTGGTGGATCTGGTGGTCTATGCCATGGAGCGATCTGAGACAGAGGAGAAGTTTGATGACGGGGGAACAAGCCAACTCCTGTGGCAGCATCTCTCGAGTCAGCTCATTTTCTTTGTGCTTTTCCAGTTTGCAAGTTTTCCACATATGGTCCTTTCTCTTCATCAGAAGGTTAGTACTAAATCTTTCGTTAGAGCTGCTTCACCTGTTGATTAGTATGTTTTAGACTGGTATGGACATTGCCTGGTGATTTTAGCACTGGCAGAAGTTTGAGTCCTAATTTATGTTTTGTTCAGTGCTTAAGTGGTTTCTTAACTTTTCACTTTATTTTCCTTGTAAAAACTGGATCTGGTCATTCATTCTGTATATTCACAGTGCAAGGATCAGGGGATACAAGATGAAAAGACACTATAGGACCCTCAATGAGCTCTTTACTAGTAGAAAGACATAGATGTAAACAATTTGATTATAATTTAATAGTTTGCATAATGAAAGTATGTTTCCCTGAAGGGATGAAGAAGAGTCCCAGTTAAAGACATGGGAATGGCTTTAGCAAAGAGATCTTGAAGCTAGCACTTAAAGGGCAAGTAGAAATTTGCCAGGAGGAAAAGCTGGAAAAGTGTTTCCATAGCAATAACGTCATCATTTGGAAAGGGATAGAAGTGTGTAAGAACTGGAAAGGAAAATGTAAAGGGGAAAGTGTTGGTGAGATAAGGAAGACAGGAAGGCAAGACCAGACATGGAGAACTTTATATGGCCATGTGTTTGTTCTAAGGAGTTTAGATTTTCTTTGGGAGGCAAACGAGGAGGGGAATGACATTATCATATTCAAGTTGAAAAGATTACTGTTAATGGCCACGTGTAGGAAGATGGTGACATAGAGATGGATGGGACCAAAATCAGAGGCAAGGATATTAGTAAGAGAGCTGTTGCAGAGATCTAGATGAGAGATGCAGAAGGTCTGAACCAGACAGAGAGGAGAAGCCAGAGATCAGGTATGCTGAGAGAAATAGAACTTGGTGACTGTAGGTAACAGGGAGTAACAGGAGTGTAAGATCACCCACCGCTATCTACTTTGGCCATGAATGGAAAGGTAAGACAATGAATGCAAAACAGAGAATACAGTGGAAGTTTGTGGCAATAGTTGATTTTAATCATAAGGTTTTAGACACATTGAATGGGAATAAAATAAGTGTTATATTTATAACAATTCTACAGCATGGATTATTTGGGGGGAAATTTTTCAAGAGTTTCTAGAATCCTTTCAGCCCCACTTATCCCCAGTCCTCCCCCTGCCCCCTACACACACATCACCACCACCACTGATTTCTGCTATAATCTATAGGAAACCAGAAAAAGTGTTTTTTGATAGCCAATCCTTGAGGATTTTTTTTTTTTTTAAAATATATCTTAATTGATTTCAGAGAGAAGAAGAGACAGGGAGAGAGAGAGATCGAAACATCAGTGATGAGAGACTCATTGATCAGCTGCCTCCTGCATGCCCCTGACTGTGGATGGAGCCTGCAACCCAGGCATGTGCCCTGACCAGGAATCGAATGGAGATCTCCTGGATCGTAGGTCAATGCTCTACCACTGAGCCACACCCAGCCGTGCAAGGATTTTAAATTATACTTGATCTTAGCCAAAAGGCCGAGAAGCTTGAGAATTTTAAATTAAAAATTTTTTTTGATACAATAAAGCATTTCTTATGTTTTGATATTTTTCGTAATTATCCCATATTAAACTTGATTCTCATGCTCACGTGATCAACTTAATTATGTCCTAAAACATTTGATTTTTTATATGCCCAGTTGTTGTGGGGGGGTCAGGGAGGAAAGATATAAATTATATTAAAATAATTTAAAAGGCTTTTCTTGGTGTGCCTTGAGTTGAGACTGAGTAATTAGCAAGTGCCAAAGTTAGGTGCTAACTTTCTGAAAGCAGGGTTTCTCCTTTTTGTTTTTTTCTTTAAACTTTACATCCACCTCTTTAACTAGATGAATGGATATGTATATAACCATCTTTTACAGTTAGCAGGGCGAGGACTGATTAAAGGCAGAGATCATCTGATGTGGGTTCTCCTGCAATTCATTTCCGGAAGTATACAGAAAAACGCACTGGCTGATTTTCTCCCCGTCATGAAACTCTTTGACCTTCTGTACCCAGAAAAAGAAGTAAGTTTTACTAGATAGTTAACAGTGTGGTGAGTGAGTTGTGTCTAATTTATGTTTAAGGATTTTAGTGTGACTTTGAAAAGAACACTGGATTTAGAAGCTGGAAATCTGAATTCTTTTCCCAGTTCTGTGACTAACCATAATTGTGTGATGGACATTAGGTCTCTCGTCATTAGTTTACTCATGTATAATGAAGAAATTGAACTAAATTATTTTTGAAGTTTATCTTAAATCAAAATTGAACATTTAGTGTAGCAAACTTTTTTTCTACATTTTAAGTAGGTTTACAGTTTTAAAAAGCATTAGGCTGTTTTTATCTATACAAGTCATTGAGTGACCACATAACATTAGTATTTGTGAATATCTTTTTTTGTTTGTTTGCTAATTGAGTGTGTCCCCCTCAGTGTTTTATTACATAAGGTATTTGAGTAAAATATGGTATGCATTTATGATTGCCATTTTTTAAAAAGCATTTTATTATGGAAATTTTTGTCCAGTTTTGAATCAGGCCATCATTTTTTTTTTTTAATTAATTATATAAGCTCAGGTGTACACTATAATTTGACATCTGTAAACACTACAAAGCGATCACCCCTAAAAGTCTAGTTTCTGTCCATACAGTTGACTCCCTTCACCCCTTTCACCCCATCTCCAACCCCCTTTCTCCTCTGGTAACCACCAATCTGTTCTCTGTATATATGAGCTTGTTTTATTTTGTTTGTTTGGGTTTTGTGGGGGTTTTTTGAGATTCCACATGAGGGAAATCACATAGTATTTGTCTTTCTCCTTATGATTTAACTTCATTTAGCATTTTATTCTCAAGGTTCATTCCCATCACAAATGGCAAGATTTCATTCTTTTTTGTGGCTGAGTAGTATTCCATCATTCATGTATGTGTGTGTGTGTGTGTGTGTGTGTCTATTCATTCATAAGTCCATGGGCACTTAGGTTGCCTGTTATAAATAATACTGCAGTGAACAGGGGGGTTCAAATATCTTTTCAATTAGTGTTTTCATATTCTTCAGGTAAATACCCAGAGGTGGAATGGCTGGATCATATGGTGGTTCTATTCTGGAATAAATCAGTGGCTACACCAATTTACAGTCTCACCAATTGTGTACAAGGGTTTCCTTTTTTCCACGTTCTCTCCAACACTTGTTATTTCTTGTATTTTTTTTATAGTAGCCATTCTAAGATGTGTGAGGTGATATTTCATTGTGATTTTGATTTGCATTTCCTTAGATATCTATTGAAATTTTTTCCTAATTTTTATTTGTTGATTTTTTTTTTTTGAGAGACACACACACATCGATTTGTTGTCCCACTTATTTATGCATTCCTTTGTTGATACTTATATATGCCCTGACCGGGGATTGAACCCGCAACCTTGGCATATCAGAAAGATGTTCTTATCCACTGAGCTACCAGCCAGGGTAATTTATGGAAATTTTTAAATGCACAAAAAAGTAGATTGAATAGAAAAGTATATTCTTGTTTCATCTTTCCTTTTTATCTTTTTTACTAATGCTGGACATTTTAAAAGCAAATTCTTAATTTTTATGTTCTCAAAAAGCATTTATGTGACTTTTAGAAATTTTATGTTTTCAGTATAGTTATCATATTCAGTAAGATTTCATAATGTTTAATTTTTAAATGATTTGTTATTGTTAAGTCAGAACAATCTTGTAATGGTTTCAATATTTATAGCTGTTATATCTTCTGATTTATATTATTGAATAATCAAAGAACAATGGGAGCTAAATTAGTACAGGGTATTTTAATTAGTTAATTTTTCTCTTTCTGATAATATTATTTTTCAGTGTATCCCAGTTCCTGATATTAACAAACCTCAGTCAACTCATGCTTTTGCAATGACTTGCATTTGGATTCATCTTAATAGAAAAGCCCAAAATGACAACTCCAAGCTACAGATTCCAATACCTCATTCCCTAAACCTTCACCATGAGTAAGTTTTTGTAGCTGAACAGTTAATTTTTTATTTTATAGATAGTGGATTATAGACTAATATTATTCTTAGTATTTGTGTAAAGAATGAAAATCTTCCCACGCTCACTGGCAGTAAGGGTGAATATTTAATGTGTATATCATCCCAAGAGAAACTGACCAATATTTGCATCAGAGAACAATTAGAAGGTTAATCCTATTTACATATATGTATATATATTTAATCAGGTCTAATCTTTGTTTTTATATATTTTAGTTTAATTAAAGTTATTTATTTCCAAAACTATGTGAAAATATTTCAAAGTTTCTTAAGTACTTGGGATTTGAGCATGATCTGACTGAGATGCCTTTCACTCCCTGGGCTGCCAAGGTTGGTTGAACTGATCTGATCTGTCTGGCGTGCTCCCTTCAGTCAAAGATGTTAGGAATGGCTGAGCTTCCCACGCAGAACTTCTGAAAAGGACTTCTTAAGAGACTGTAGAATAGTCAAACTTCGTATTTCATTTAGCTTTCATTTTATGAGACACCCCTTGACCATCTTTTCTTAGTAACATCTGTAATGAAGGCATTTTGTTGTGCTTAAGCAGAAACCTAGTCCATGAATTTGTGACTTATTCATTTCTGAATCTCAGTGCTGTATATATAGTACGTACTTAAAAATATTCATTAATTGTTAACTTATAATTACTTAAATTCTTTCTGAAATGCTACTTGTGTGTTTCTGTTCTGCATTTTGTTATGTGTGTGTCTACATTTTGGGCAGAAACTTTATTCCTGTAGGAATAAAGATAATATTAATAAATAGGTGCATGAAATTAAACTTTTCTAAAAATGCAAGTTAACTTTCTGGAAATCATTTGCATTTTTTCTCTTTAATGGGACTTGAAATTTTAGGTTCCTACAGCAGAGTCTTAGAAATAAGAGCTTACAAATGAATGACTATAAGATTGCCCTGCTGTGTAATGCATACTCTACAAACTCAGAATGTTTTACATTACCCATGGGAGCTCTGGTAGAAACTATCTATGGAAATGGAATTATGAGGATACCTCTTCCTGGAACAAGCTGTTTGGCTTCAGCATCTATTACTCCCTTACCAATGAACCTGCTGGATTCACTGACAGTTCATGCCAAAATGAGGTATGGTCTATTTATTTGGTCATGGAACTGATATCAGTATAGTATAAGTATAGGCTTGATTCCATGATTATGTGTGTGTTTTATGGTCATGTACATTTTTTTTTAATTAGGTTTTTTAAATTATAAAATGGTAATTTTTTTAATATAGGATTTCTAGAATATACAAATAAACCCAGAGAAAATAATTACCACAATCCCTCCATGAGAAATAAGCACTGTAAAAATTTTTGTGTATATTCTGAGTCTTTTTTCTATGCATAAATATATAAACTTATGGATTTTTTAACAAAATTGGCTCTTACTGCAATACAATTTTATAACCATTTTTCCCCATAATAACCTATCAAACACCTTTTTAGGTTTAGTGTTCTTCAAAAATATGTTTTAATTACTACAAAGAAATGTTGTGTGTGTCTGTAAATGACTTTTTAAAAATTTTTATTTACTGATTGATTTTAGAGAGAGAGGAAGGAGGATGGGGGAAAGAGAGAAAAAAACATCAATCTGTTGTTTTTATTTATTTATGCATTCCTTGGTTGATTTTTGTATATGCCCTGACTAGGGATCGAACCTGCAACCTTGGCATAGCGGGACGATGCTCTACCCACCCAGGACTGGCTATAAATGATTATTTAGCCAGTGCCATATTGTTGGGCATTGAGGTTACTTGCAATATCTTAGTTTATAAAGATGGCTATGGAGACTGTCTTTATGGCTGTCTTTGTACTTATACATAATTATATTGTCATTAAATAAACTTGCCGGAGATAGAATTGCTGAGTCCAGGGATGCAAAAATTGCAATACCTTAACAGTATTGATTACAAATAGGGGCACTTTTAGAATTGACATCATGGTTTCTAAAAGACAGACAGATTCTATTGTGTGGTTCTAGAACCTCAAGTGTCCCTAAGAGCCAAGCTGATATGTAAATTAGTGACTCCTGGTACTGAGTGAAGGAGAGCCAGATATTATGCACATGGAAGCATGGGAGTACGGAGGGAACTGAAGCTGACCAGAGCATGCAGGGCTCATCTCAGGGTGCTGCCACGTTAGCTAATTTCTCTAATGTAAGAATGCAGACTAGTATGGCTAGCTCTTGTAAATAGTTTTGAGAGGGGCTAGAAATTCACATTTTTATTTCTAGTCTTTCAGCTCTTAAGTATTGGCTCAAACTTCAAATACCCTGTAAGTCAAAGAGAATTCATATGTGGACCTTTAAGTGGGGCTTCAGTTCTGGAAAAGCCGTGCTCTTTTTCAGAGGGTGAACATTGTGATAGAATTACACATGTACTTTAGCAGCACACATGACAGAGTTGAGAGAAACCCTGTTGGAACCTAACATTTGGGTCTTAGCTGTGATTTATTAAGTAATTCTGTAACAAAAGTTAAATTTTTCAAATGGTTTTAGTTACATATTTTAAAGAAAAACATACTGAAACCATTTAAACTCGTTGTTATGAGTTGTACCCAAATCCTGCTTTTCCACGAGCAGAGGGTTCCTGATACACATTGGAAGCACTATGGGAACCAGAATTAGTCTCAGGTTGTACAGCACATCACTACCAAGTGTCCTGCACAACTTAAGTGATTAAAGTGGGACTGATTCAGTTTATATATTTAAGTTCAGATTTAAATCAAGTTCCCTATCAATAGATAACTCTCGTATTTATGTCAAAATATGGATTTTTATTTTCTTTCCTTTTGTTTCTCCTCAGCCTTATCCACAGCATTGCTACCAGAGTGATAAAACTTGCTCATGCAAAGTCCAGTGTTGCCTTGGCTCCAGCCCTGGTGGAAACTTACAGTCGGTTATTGGTCTATATGGAAATAGAGTCTTTGGGCATCAAAGGATTTATCAGTAAGCCAGGACCTTCTAGTGTTTATAACCATTAACCCATTCATTAATTGAACAAGTAGTCTTCTAAGTGCTGGGGATACAGCAGCGTCACTGCCATCATAGAGATGACCTGCTAATGAGGGAGTCAGACAAAAAAGTAAATAAATAAAATTGAAGTATATCAGGTGATAAGTATAGAGAAAAATAAAATAAAAAAGAGGGGATAAGGTCAGGGGAGTGAATTGCATTTCCATGTAAATGAATTGCATTTCCATGTAAAGTTATGGTAAAAAAAGGGTATTGTACTAGGTGCTTGGGATGCGGTGAGCGGGACATGGTCATTGTCTTCATGCAAGAATCATGGTCCTATTTGCCTCTTTTGCTAGTTTGTTCCTGGAGAAGCAATGAGTACTAAATCTGACTGGCAATATGGAAGGCATTTTCCTGTATTGCAGAAGACAGCTTATTATGTCTGTTAGTTATTATGCCGTTCTGAATAATAAATACTTTCTAATATGGAAGTGTTTTTCTGACTCATGGTAATTCTAACTTTTCCCCAATAACATAATTTTAATTTTAACCTTAGTTACTCTTCTTATCAGAATTGAAATCTGAATAAAACTTTCTTGGGAGGGAGGAGGGAATAAGAGCATATGTGATACAATTTGTGTGTTAAAAAGTAATCCTCTTGCTTCAAAACATTGAGAACCTTAACTTCGTAAAAATAATTTTAAAAATAACTGAGAAGTGAGGAAGGTTAGAATAATTTTTTTTCATATCTTGTCTCTTATTTTTCCAGATGAACTTGAGTATCAGTTGTCAAATTCCGGGGGGGGCAAACTTGGTGTTATAACTATGATCTGGATTTTTTTCCCTTATAAATAAAGTTGAAATCATAGAGAAAATTTGGAAACTATGTGCACTTATGTATGCCTCTTTGTGTGTGTTCACAATCAAATCTTTACATAGATTTTACTCAGTGTGACTTTTCTTTAAATACCTTTTTTTTTTTTTTTTAAATATATCTTTATTGATTTCAGAGAGAGGAAAGGAGAGGGAGAGAGAGAGATAGAAACACCAATGATGAGAGAGTCATTGATCAAGCCCACAACCGGGGCACATGCCCTGACCAGTAATCAAACCCCGATCACCTGGATCCTAGGTCGACGCTCAATAGCTGAGCCACGCCCAGCTGGGGTAAATACCTTTTAATACACAGCTTTTACTGATTGGTGTCTTAAATTCTCTTATTTCTTAAGGTCAGCTTTTGCCCACTGTTTTCAAGTCTCATGCCTGGGGGATCTTACACACTCTTCTTGAGATGTTCAGCTACCGGATGCATCACATTCAGCCTCATTACAGAGTTCAGCTCTTGAGTCATCTTCATACCTTGGCTGCAGTTGCACAGACAAACCAGAACCAGCTCCATCTCTGGTGAGCTCATTGTAGATTATCTTTCTTTAAGATTTTGGAGATGGGAACTTAAACTTTGCCTTATAATATTTTTATTCATTTGTCATAAAATTCCTCTGCTTCTGGAGTTATATTATTTCCAGTATAGAATGGAGTCCAGCTTTCTAATTTTTTTATTTTTTATTGAATTTATTGGGGTGACATTGGTTTATAAAATTATATAGGTTTTAGGTATACAATTGTATAATACGTCATCTCTATGTTGTATTGTGTGTTCACCACCTGAAGTCAAGTCTCCTTCCTTCACCATTTAACCCCTCTTTTACTCTCTCCTACCTATTGGCCCTTTCCCTCTGGTAATCACCATGCTGTTGTGTGTGTCTGTGAGTTCTTTTGTTTGTTTTTGCTTAATCCCTTCACCTTTTTTTTACCCAGCCCTGCAAATTCCCTCTCCTCTGACAGCTGTCAGTCTATTCTCTATCTATGAGTCTATTTCTGTTTTGTTTGTTAGTTTATTTTGTTCATTAGATTCCACATGTGAGTGAAATCATATGGTACTTGTCTTTCTCTGAGTGGCTTATTTCACTTAGCGTAATGTTCTACAGGTCCATTCATGCTATCCCAAAGGGTAAGATTTCTTTCTTTTTTATGACAGAGTAGTATTCCATTATGTAAATGTACCACAGCTCTTTTAGCCACTTATCTACTGTTGGACATGGGCTGCTTCCAAATCTTGGCTATTATAAATAAGACTGCAATGAACATAGAATTAGTGTTTCAGGTTTCTACGGATATATTCCCAGAAGTGGACTCACTGGGTCATAAGGCAGTTCCATTTTTAATTTTTTGCGATGACTTGATACTGCTTTCTACAGTGGCTGCAACAATCTTCATTCCTACCAACAGTGCATGAGGGTTCCCTTTTGTCCACATCCTCTCCAACACTTATTTGTTGATTTATTGATGATAGCCATTCTGACACATGTGAGGTGATGTCTTTTTGTGGTTTTAATTTGCATTTCTCTGATTAGTGACATTGAGCATCTTTTCATATGCCTATTGGCCATCTGTATATTTTCTTTGGAGAAGTGTCTGTTCAGGTCCTTTGTCTATTTTTTAATTGGATTGGTTTTTTTGGTATTGAATTTAATAAGTTCTTTATAAATTTTGAATATTAGCTCCTTGTCAGATGTATCATTGGCGAATGTGTTCTCCCAGAGTCCAGCATTTTAATTATTAAGATAGTTGAGTCCTTGCCTTAGGATCTTTGGGCTGAGAATAAATTCCAAGGCTTTTGACATTATGTTCTAGCTTAGCCCTTTAGGATACTGGATTTAAATATACTTCAGGTTATGGTTAAAGTATGAATCATGTAATTTTGATTTTGCTCTAAGTGAAGATATAGTGCAAATAAAAAGAATGTAATTTTTGAAGTGCCGTTTATCCAGGTGAAATTTTTTAGTCCTGTGGGCTACAAGCTATATTCTGCAAATATACAAACATATCAGGTGGTTTTCACTATAAAATTTGCCACTTCTAGTTTTTAAAACAAATTAAGCAAAGCTCATGTCAAAAAAGAGTTTTTCCCCCAATCAAAGAAGGTAAAGTCATAATTTGCATGTGTTTCCATTTTAGTTGACCTAGAATTAGATTTAATTCCATAATTCTGAAATTTATATGCAAGTTAACTTGTTCATGTTTCTTTTTGTTCTCTTACCTTTCAGTGTTGAGAGCACTGCACTTAGGCTTATAACAGCCTTAGGAAGCTCGGAGGTACAGCCACAGTTCACACGCTTCCTTAGTGATCCCAAAACAGTGCTCTCTGCAGAATCTGAAGAACTGAACCGAGCCTTGATATTGACGTTAGCTAGAGCAACTCACGTGACAGGTACAGTGACTCCACCACCACTAACAAAACAGTGGAATGAGAGTGTATTGGGCCTCTACCTATTGTGAAGGAGATGACATACTGAAAAATGCTTTTCATTTGCTCAAGAGAAAACAATTGTTTTGATAGCTTCACTATTTCAGTCATTAATATAGGTTCTTCTGCGTACTCTCATTTTAATCAGGTTGAGCATCAGTTTTCAGCCTTTTTTCAGTAGTGGTTCTTGAGCTTTTTGGTCTCAGGACCACTTTATACTCTTAAAAAAATAATTGAGGGGATGGGGGGGTGGGACATTTCAGGTAGAAGGAACCCGTATCAAGACCCAGAGGAGAGCAAGAACACTGGTTCAGAGAAAAGGCTAATTTGGCTGGAGTAGAGTGAGCCAAGTACAGATCGAGCACTTAAAACATATTTATACAGGATGGGGCAAAAGCAGGTTTACAGTTGTTCATATGGGAAATACAAAAATTAATAAATAAGAATAAACTGTTTCTCCTACTTACAACTGTAAACCTACTTTTGCCACACCCTGTATTGCTCATTCCCTTGCCTCCTTCAGGCCTCTGTTGTTACCTTTATTGGGAAGGCCTTTCCTGAACCACTGTATTGGGGTCCACAGAATCTACAGACCACACTTTGAGAACTGCTGTTTTAAAAAAATAGTTGTTGAATTTAGTAACCTGAAATACATTTGTGTGAACTATCGTATTTTACATAAATAAATCTCTTTGATTTAGGGAGATATTTGTAGTCTACAGCTGTTTCAACCACCAGAAAAGATATTTACTTTCTTAATTCTAGTCTCTTGTGCTAATACCTCATTGTCAGAGCAAACTAAATGAACAATCATGATAGACCTATACAACAATTATATCATTGGTGCTCTGTAGCTGTCTTTGGTGTTCTTTTCACTCATTATGTTCATATTTTCAAATTTAGGTCCTAAGCTGAATATTACTAGTTATGCAATAAATGCACTGCAGTGAAATTCTCTGAGTGTACATAATTGTTCATGACTTTCTCTAGGATCTCTGTATGAATTGCAGATATGATCATTTATATCTGGATTACATCTGTTTGTTTATGTTTAGATTTTTTTACAGGCTCTGACTCTATTCAGGGAACTTGGTGTAAAGATATACTACAGACCATCATGAGTTTTACTCCTCATAATTGGGCTTCACATACTCTTAGCTGTTTTCCAGGCCCACTACAGGTAATTTGGTCTTGAATTACATATTGAATATGTATGAAATAATTTTCCCCATTTACAATGTCATTCTATTGAGTTAGTTATGGTGACAGCCAAAGAAAGTTAGCTTTTATTATTATTTTTTAAATCATTGCCATTCCAAAATCTTTAGTTGTGCCTTGTCCTAGTCAAGGACTGTATGTTTCTAAAATTTTGATTATTGTGGTTTCATCTTATTAGTTAATTCTCATGAGAATTAACACATTACCTGAAAAATTCTTTCTCTCTCTCATAGAACTGAAACGGAGAGAAATGTAATTTAATGGAGCTTCACGGAATACACATATGCTAACTTGAGTTTAAAAAAAATCACACAGAGAGAAAAACTTGGTTTTTATAGTATAGAGAAAGAAAACCTCATCTATCTTCTACTTTTCAGAAAAAATCTTAGGCATAATGAACATCTGTTTTCTATAACTTCTAACAGGGCTAGAGCAGTGGTTCTCAAACTTGCCAGAATCTTCTGGAATGCTTGTTTAGATACAGATTGCTGCTGATACTAATGGTCTGGGGGCCCTACTCAGAGAACCATTGGGCTAGTGTAATGGATTTTCCTTATAGAGATACGAAAATATGTAACCAAAGGGCACATAAATTTTTGTTTCTTTTTTTTCCAAAGGTGAACGGAAGTATCAACAGATGATTGAAGGAATTTTGAATTCACAATTGCTTGGAATTTCTGTTTAGAATATCTAAGAAAGGAATCTTAGCGATAATCTAATTCAAGCCTCTATATTTTCCCAATACAGAAATTCAGGCCTTGAGTTGCTCGAGGCACGGACAGTTTATTAGTGTCAGAGTCAAGTCTAGAACTGGTTTCTTGACTCTATAGCCAGTGCTCTTTTTACTATAACCATTGAAATATACTTCTGATCTTCTTTTTAGGCATTCTTCAAACAAAATAATGTGCCTCAGGAAAGCCGTTTTAATCTGAAAAAAAATGTGGAGGAGGAGTATAGGAAGTGGAAGTCAATGAGCAATGAAAATAACATCATTGCTCACTTTTCTAATCAAAGCTCTCCTCTCTTCCTTTGTCTTCTCTGGAAAATGCTCTTGGAAACAGATCATATTAATCAGATTGGCTATAGGTAAGCCCAGAACCTAGATCTGCATTCCATTTGGCAACCAGTTATACCATACAGCAATATAATTTTTTTTTTACTCTGCTTTCCAGAGTATTAGAAAGAATTGGAGCCAGGGCCTTGGTAGCCCATGTGAGAACATTTGCAGATTTCCTGGTATATGAGTTCTCTACATCAGCTGGGGGTCAGCAACTCAACAAATGCATTGAAATTCTTAATGACATGGTATGGAAGTACAACATTGTAACATTGGACAGATTAATTCTCTGCCTGGTAAGAATGTGCTTACTTAAGTTTCTAAGCTGTCTGTTCTCTTTTGGATCAAGGTGTGTGATTGTGATCTACTCTGTATTGCTTCAAAGGGTTTAATAAGTTTATACTATAATCAAGCATAGCTATCACTTCCTTAAGGAACTAGTGATTTCCCACTTTCTTTACTCATTCATTCAATAAGTATGTGTTGAGTACCTACTGTTTTCTGCACAGAAGGTATAGAGTAAATAAGACAGACATGATCCTGGCCTTGTGGTGCTCTAAAAGTAGAAGCAGTTAGACACAGTTGACTTGCAAGTCTCTCACTGCATTTCTTTGCAGAGCGCCAACAAACATTTCTGTATAATTTGGTAGTACAGTCAGAACTGAATGTTTCTCATAGCTACCCAATATTCCCGAAATGATGTTTTCTCTTGACTTTGATTCTGTTTCAAGTAAAAATTTAAGAGAAAGACAATGAATCAGGATGGACAATACTACGTTTTTTTAAAATACATGTACTATACTGGTGATATTTGGGGTCGCTTAGTTTATTAACATTAACCTCTTAGCTGTGAAGCATAGATATAAAGATGGTTACAGTCTAGCCCTGGCCAGGTAGCTCAGTTGGTTAGAGCATCTTCCCAATATGCCCAGGTTATGGGTTCGATCCCTAGTCAGGGCAAGAATCAACCAATGAATGCATAAATAAGTGGAACAACAAATGGATGTTTATCTCTCTTTCTCAAATTAATAATTTTTTTAATAAAAGAAGCTTTATTTGCCCAGCCAGGTGGTGTTGCTCAGTGGTTGAGCATCAGCCCATGAACCAAGAGGTCACTGGTTTAATTCCCCATCAGGGCACATGCCTGGGTTGTGGGCTTAATCCCCAGTAGGGGGCATGCAGGAGGCAGCCAATTGATGTGATGTTTCTCTCTCATCATTGATGTTTCTGTCTATTCCTCTCCCTTCCTCTCTCTCTAAAATCAATGAAAACATATTTTTTAAAAAAGAAGCATTTTGTATTTTATTTCATTTTATTATTTTTTTAATATATCTTATTGATTTCAGAGAGAAGAAGGGAGAGGGAGAGAGAGAGAGAGAGAGAAACATCACATCAATGTGAGAGCGATATATAGATTAGTTGCCTCCCGACCAGGGCCAGGGATCGAGCCGACAACTCAGGCATGTGCCCTTGACTGGAATCAAACCTGAGACCTTCAGTCCACAGGCCAGTGCTCTAACCNCTTCACTGGGGATCGAGCCTGCAACCCGGGCAAGTGTCCTGATGGGGAATCAAACCTCAGTCTCCTGGACCATAGGTTGATGCTCAGCCACTTAGCCACGCCGGCCAGGCAAAAGAAGTGTTTAAAAAAAGAGGGAAAAAAAGATGGTTACAATCTACTAGGGGAAATAATGTAAATCTATCAATCAATAAAATAAAAGGATAAAATAGAGTTATAGCAAGATTTTACTTATTCCAGTTTAGACTTTCAAGCAGCAGAGCCATGCTTTGTGCTAGTTAGGCATTTTCATATACTTTTTCTGTTCTCCAAAGGCCATGCGTAGTCATGAAGGAAATGAAGCCCAGGTTTGTTATTTCATAATTCAGTTGCTGTTACTCAAACCAAATGACTTTAGAAACCGAGTAAGTGACTTTGTGAAGGAAAATTCCCCAGAGCACTGGCTACAGAACGACTGGCACACCAAGCACATGAATTATCACAAGGTACTAATTCAAACTAGTGCTTTAATTAATCCTTTTTAAGCCATACTTAGATATTTTGCTATTGATTTGGCTGTTTTCTCTGTGGTTCTACTGTTTTCTCTCTGGTCTCTAAACTTCTTCAAGGTTCTAGAATATCTCTAAAGTTATGAATAAATTAAAATTATAGTTTTCATAGACATGGGTACTTAAAGTACAACATGAAGAGTCATTACAAACCCTTTTATGAATAATCTATTTTGGTGTCTCTTTGGGATAAGAGATTTTTACCAAGTAAATGACTCTAGTTTGCATTGCATTGTACGAGCAAATGTGATTTCATATTTTTTAAATGGCAAGTTTATTTAGCTGTTTTTTAAGAGAATAAAAAAGATGCCCTAAACATTTACCATTTCCTCACTTCCACAGAAATATCCAGAAAAACTGTACTTTGAGGGCCTGGCGGAGCAGGTGGATCCTCCTGTGCAGATCCAGTCCCCCTATCTGCCCATCTATTTTGGAAATGTGTGTCTCCGATTCCTGCCAGTATTTGATATAGTAATCCACAGATTTTTAGAGTTGCTTCCAGTATCCAAATCACTGGAGACTCTACTAGATCACCTAGGAGGGTTATATAAATTTCATGGTGAGCTTTTTCAAATCTTAATCACATCTAATAGCTCTATAAACAAAAGTAGGCTAGGCATGACCATATGGGTAATAGCTGTTCTAATTTTTAATGTTTTAATTTTTAATAATGTTTTAATTTTTTTTCAATGAAAGTGTTTTGAGGGTAAGTGCCGTGCATTGATACCAGGAAGTGTAAAATAGGTGACATAAAAATATGAATAGGCAATCAGCAAATGTATTAAATAGCAAAAAAGAAAAGTGATATGCAAGAGATGCCTTATTTTACATAGTGTGTGATTAATTGTCAAATAAGTATAGAGGGAGAAAAGTATGTGTTCACAACAGACTGATGTTACTGTGAATGAATTGGATCTTGACAGGCTTCTTGGATGGATAGAATATCAGCCGTGGTGTATGTGATTTGTATAAACAGAAAAGAGAGAAAAACATACTAGGCAGAAAGAACGTTTTGGAGAAATCAAGAAGGTATTAAAAACAAGACATTTTGAAAACAGCTGCCTCATTGGGCTAAGTTAAAATTTCATATATTGTGCCTGACAGAGCACCTTAAGTGCCTGCCTGAATTTTGATTTTATAACTTGCAAGTAGTCAAGAATCAATTAGAAGCTATTAAGATAATGACATAGAAAGCCTAAATGGAAAACATTTATTTTAGATAAATCCAGTTGTAGTTGGCAGCATGTCCTGGAAGGAGTAAGCCATTTCAACGACTTATGTCAGAAAGTTCAGATGTATGAATAGTGTGTAAACAAGTATGATGGCACTGGACATTAGGAAGGAGGGAACAGATAGTCAAGGAAGAAAGAATAGGACTGGGTTGGCTGGTTGTGGAAAGAATAGTAAAAGAAAAATTAAAAACAACTCTAAAGTTTTAAACCTGGTACTGGAAAATGGCAGAGTCAGTAACAGAAGTGTGGAAGTCCCAGAGCACCCACTGTGGGGACAAAGTATATTTATCTGGGGGGCAGTTCTTTTTAGACTTTGATCTAAGATGTTTTCTTCCAATGCAGAAGCTTGAATTGTCGTTTAGCATACAGAATAGGTATGAAGTTCAGTGAGCATTCATTTTAAAGGCATTTTCCATTTGGATTAGGTGATATTCGCACATGGTGCAGAAGGGTATGCAGTAAAATGCCCCATCCCTGTCCTCTAGCAAGGAATGTCCTTGCACAGGTGTCATTTTTGCAGAATCAACTTCCAGAAGTGAAATCACTACCTCCAAGTGTAATGAATGATGAATATCCTAAACAAAATGTGTATATTATTGGAAGCCTTCTGCCTTGTTCTAAAATTAAAATATTCATTGTCCGCAATTACCCAGCATATGAAATGGCTTCATAATCTTCTGAGCTGTTTTTGGTAATCTTGAAAATGGAGGATTAGTTTTTCACAGTTGTCAGTAACCAGATAAGCATTGTGGTGATTTGTTTTCTTCTTGGCAGATCGTCCAGTGACTTATTTGTATAATACTCTGCACTATTATGAAATGCACCTGAGAGAGCGCGCATTTCTCAAACGAAAACTCGTGCACGCGATCATTGGTTCACTCAAGGATAATAGACCCCAGGGCTGGTGTCTAAGTGACACTTACCTGAAGTGTGCTATGAATGCGCGAGAGGACAATCCTTGGGTCCCAGACGACTCCTACTATTGCAGATTGATTGGCAGGCTAGTAGATAATATCCTTTTTACTGTGGTTTTCCAGACTCTTTAGAAATAAGTGTATGTATGGTTTATGAGAACATGAACTGTGTTGTGTTTTCAAGATAATATTTTTATATATGCTAAGACTTCAAATTTCTTAAAGATCATTTCTACTTTTACTTCTGTAAAGGTTTTGAAATCTTAAATTCGCAGCATCATGACAGAGAGGCAGAAATTCATTCCATTAAAATTTATATTAAAAAACAGGCTTTTAAGATTTGTTTCAAAGAAAACAATCCTATTTCTAAGTAAATGTCCTATGTATTGTAGTACATGCATCTGTTTGCTACTGGAGAGAGCACAGAATTTTGTTGCTTTAAATCACTGAAATTTTAAAAGATGTTAATAGATAATAATGTAACTTATTTTCTCTTTTTTAGTAAAAGAGCTGCTATGTGGTATTTTTATTTCTTCATTTTTATTTTATGTTGTAAGTTATCAGCACTATACTTAATATGTCCGTGCACCATGCCACTATTTACTAGATAGAGCAATGTAAATGGGCATGATTTATCTTCCTACACAAAGAAATTTATTTTGCGAAGTAAAAGAATTACATATTATAAAGTAACTTTCTTATTAACTGCCCTATAACTGTTAAAAGAAATAGATTGGTAGTTATAGTAATGCTTTGGTTGCATAGGTAACTGTCACATCACAGTGATAGGAGCCCACCTAGATGAGACAAACCATTTATACCTTATGGTTGATCACATGGTTTCAATCAGTACATTTGTCATGTCAAGCTTATTTGTATTTGGTTTGTATTATTTACCTTCTGATCTCTCAGATAAATCACTTCTTGGGGGCTCATAATTAGATAAATTGATAATCAAATGAGATATTTGCTTGTGAAACATTTTGAAAGCTGTAAAGCACTACACAAATGTGAGCCATTAATCTCAAAATAATCAAATAGTTATTGCTTTAATCATTTGCACCGATGGCTGGCAAATCTCCTGGTCCATTTCCAAACTGTGACTGGAGATTCAATGAGTTTCCCAACCCAGCTGCCCATGCACTGCATGTTACCTGTGTGGAGCTCATGGCCCTAGCTGTCTCAGGCAAAGAAGTTGGAAATGCTCTTCTAAATGTCGTGCTGAAAAGGTATGTATCCTGTTGTATGCAGTAAGATGCCTTGTTTATTTGTAAAGAGAATATTTTATTTGGTGCTGTTAGACAACCCTGTTGTCTTTACAGTGGATAGTAACTGTCTTTTGGTTCCAGATCTTGTCCTTATGATATATGGGTAGTGGAATGAGTCCTGGACAGTGTCAGAAGACCTGGGTTTGTTCCCACTTATATTCTCCATTAGCTGCTTGGCATATAATTTAGGAATAATGTTAACTTCTCAGTAAAGGCAGTCTTTCAAGAGTCCTTTCTTAAGGACCAACGTAAAGTAGCGGATAATGATTAGAGAAGAAGTATAAATAAATGGAAATAGTATTTCAGCCTATTTGTTAAAGGAAACAACCCAAAACAAAAGCCTTATTTTGCTTTTGTTCCTGTATATTAAATTTTTACTCAATAAAAAATCTATTTTAGTTTTATTGGAGTAGGTTAGTTATCAGCCCCTGAATTATGTTCTCAAAATAAGATCCACTGTCAACCATATAAAATGTTTTTATAATTCCATATTTTTGTTCTTTTTTCTCACTTGTAGTCAGCCTTTAGTGCCGAGAGAGAACATTACAGCATGGATGAACGCAATTGGATTGATCATCACTGCCCTACCCGTGAGTTAAATTGTGATTTGTACACAGTAATGGAATGCAGCTGTTCCCTGTCGGCAGCAAGAATAGAGTGCCTTCATACAAGGACATCATGCAGTTAGTGAAGTGTTTCATATTTTTAAAGTTTTCATATTATTATTGCTTCAAAAATCTACAGTGACTATTTGTTTGCATTCTGCATCAAATCTAATGAAATCTACCTAATTTTGGGTCCCTACATTCATTTGTCCCACCTTACCCATCCAACCTTAGTTTTTATATTAAAGTCTGATCTAGTTTTGACCACTTAGCATATTATACATCTAGATCCTTTTCTCATGCAAGTAATGCTCGTTGAGCCTAGGCCAGTGTGACCGAGTGGTTAGAGCGTCGGCCTTCGACCAAAGGGTCCTGGGTTCAATTTCTGGTCAAGGGCACTTACCTAGGTTGCAATTTGATCTCTGGCCCCAGTCTGGGTGAGTGCAAGAGGCAACCAATCAATGTGTCTCTCTCACATCAATCTCTCTCTCTCTCTGCCCCTCCCTCCCTCCCTTCCACTCTCTCTAAAAATCAGTGGAAGAAATATCCTCAGATAAGGATTAACAGAAAAATAAATAAAAAAAAATAATGCTCACTGAGACATGTGTCAGGTGCCTCTGATACGTTGGAGAATAAGACATTATGCCAGAACCCTCCTTCCTTCTGTCAGCTCCTCTAAAGCTCCTCACTCCTTGCCAGTGTGGAGCCTGCTTCTTCAGGGACCCTGCCCTGGCTTCTCCACTCATGTGAAGGCGCCCTTCTGTGACCCCCACCTGTGTCTAGTCAGCACCACATAGTTATCTGTTGTGCTATGTTTGAGTGTCAATAATATTGTCTTAACCCTGTACTCTGCAGACTTCTTTGATTATGCGCCTCTATGAATCACCTTTTCCTTACACAGCTCCAAAATATATATTGATTTCTGAGTTACACGTGTGTATAGTATTGTCTGTATGGTAAATATTATTAAAGTAGATTTACTCTGTAGTAAGTATCAGGCACTAAATGAACAGGACAGATGCGTGTATGGAGCCCTCTAACTCACAAGCATTTTTCTCCAGGTTGTATTGGCTTATTCTGAAGCCACCAGGTTTTTATTTTAAAATCTCCATTACACAAAGACAAGCTGGATAAGTAGAAAACATTAAAGAATGAGAAAGTGCTATTTTTTTAGGCGTGGGCCTGTGATAATGAATATGGGTGGAACACTGGATGACGGATATTTTTCATCAGGCTTTCCTCTGGTTTTAAAGGAGCCATATTGGATTGTCCTTCATGATCAAATTGTGAGTGTTATCAGCAGTCCCAGCTTGACATCTGAAACAGAGTGGGTTGGCTACCCATTCCGCCTCTTCGATTTCACTGCTTGCCATCAGTCCTACTCCGAGATGAGCTGTAGCTATACATTAGCTCTAGCACATGCTGTGTGGCACCATTCTAGCATTGGGCAGCTTTCTCTCATTCCCAAGTAGGTATTATGACTTCTTAAAGAAATTTGACTTTTTTCATCTTGTTCTTGTTTTGTTTTTTAACCTAATTTACATATAAGGTATATATCTCATTCAGTAGAACAACTTGCAAAGTAAGAGTTAAGTAGAATTTCTAGAGAATCAGAAAGCCTCTTTTATTTCAGAATTAATTTATATGTTGAAGTAATAATTTGGTATCTAGTTTTCTGTTACATTTTAAGGAGGCTTTTTCCAGAATGTATTCCAAAAGTTGCCTTTTGAACAGAATAACTGATATTAGCCTATTTTCTGATTATTTATCTTAGCTATAAAATTGGTGTTAATTAGATTCAACTTTCTTGAAAATGGCATTTATATTAGATTGGTTATATGCCTCTGTCAAAGAAATTTTTAAAAAAGTATTACAAGTTTTACAAATACTGGGTAGACTATATTAACAAAATTCAACTGATTTCAAGTCATAAGAAATTTTTATTTTCAAATTTTAGGTTTCTCACTGAAGTACTTCTTCCTATAGTGAAGACTGAATTCCAGTTGCTTTATGTGTACCATCTTGTGGGACCATTTTTACAAAGATTTCAGCAAGAGAGAACTCGGTGTATGATAGAGGTAAAATATAACCTGGGTTTTCTGTAATAAAATTAAATTCTAAAATATCTATTTAGGTTTTTTCTCAGTGTTTTTCAAACTTCATATCATAGTCATTAGTAGTGAAGTCAGCTTAGTGGGATCAGAGAGCGGTTTTGGAAGACTTAGTGTACTCATGACTTAGTATACCTATAGTGAATTTAGTGTAGAATGTCTTGAATTGGAGATGCAGCGGGAAATAACCATCATCAAGGTCAAGAAGAAAATTAAGGATGGAGAAATGCATTTGAGAACCTGCACTGTAGTACAGAGGAATTAATTAAAATCATGAGAATGGATGAAAATCGCCTATAACAAGAGTGCAGAGAAAAGAAAATGAGCCAGGAAGAGAACCTTAATGTATGAGCCACCAAATAGAACTAAGAAGTATGATCTAAAGGATCCCCCAGATTGCGATTATCCCAGAAATTGAGAAATGGTTTCCTGAAAGGGGATCGTTGGTTTCTTCATTTTAAGAGAAATTACCAAGCTGTAAAGAGAAATTGCATTTAAGCCCTGTTGGGTGCATTTTATAGCACTATTGAGTCCATCCTAATGCAGACCATGCCATATCTCCCAGGCGCCCAGAAGTTTGTGTGATCAATGTGTTCTAAGCACACGTTACCTTCTGTGTTAGTCTTGGAATGGAATCCAGCTGCAACGTGCTGAATCATTGAACCATTTCTAACATTTAAATAATTTTATATTATTCATTAACTAGATTGGTGTGGCATTTTATGACATGTTGCTGAATGTAGACCAGTGTAGCACCCACTTAAATTACATGGATCCCATCTGTGACTTCCTGTACCATATGAAGTACATGTTTACTGGTGACAGCGTAAAAGAGCAAGTAAGTTAACTTTAATTATTTTTAATGATACTTAGTTTAGAAAACTTAAACATATGGTGATAGACTTTTTTATTTAAGTGAGTGGTTTTGTTAATTTTTTTTTCCCTTTGAGGGGAAAAGGTTGATATCAGGCCCTCTTAGGCTACATGAGCATATTATTCTGAATATAGTATTAAAGTAAAAGTAAATAAGTTATAATTTCTCACATTTTCCCCTTGATATTTGCAGCAGAACATCTGAAAAAGACCTAGGGGAGTTACTTAACAGTATTCTCATTAGGAAGAAACAGTATAGTATGGCTACTGAAAAGACTAGATAGGTGTTGTGTTATGAGTGAAGGAGGTCCTGCATTTCCCCACGGTGATTAGGGTACAGTGTGGGAAAATTAGATAAATTGCAGCATACTAGCAGACTGAAGTCAGCAGAGTCCAGAGAGTAATTTTGTGAAGGGAATTTGAAGGAACTGGGAATCCTTGACTTGAATTTTAAGAGTCCTGGGGAATTGTTTATGTCCTCACTTACTGGAAGCATTGCCATTTGGATTAGGTATTAGATCTTTTCTGTGTGACTTCAGAGGGCATATAAACTCTGGTAAGGTTAAAGGGAGGCACATTCTGACTCAACATATAAAAAGCCTCTTCCTAGTAGAACTGCCTGAAAGTGACAGGTCCACGTGAGCCATAACTGAGTTTCCTGTAGGAAACGATCTCGCTGTTTCAGGAAGGTGGAGAAATTAAATAACCTCCCTCCATACTTTAATGTTATTTCCTTCTATAATGGCAAAGAGAGGTAAACTGATATAAAAACATGAATTCTAGTCTACTGGATTCTTCCCTTGCAGCTGGGGAGGTGTTGAATTCTTTATGCCTCAGCAGGATTGTCAAGGAAAGTTGAATGGGAACCAATACTGGCATGTTTTATTTAACATATCTTTTCTATTTGGGCCTAAGGCACTTTGATACAAGGTAATTGCAGAAGGAAAAATTATTAATGGGTTGATCTTTCCCCACAAGGTCAAAGGGCATTTGATAAAGCTAAGAAACCTGTGAAACTGCTTGACGTATTTATTTCTTTAAAGTATTTTAAGCAAGGATAGATCTGATATTATTTAGTTTTAATTCCAAGTATAAATCAGAACTTAAAAAATTAGCTTTGTAGATATATGTTATAGATATACGTTATTCAAAGAACTTCAAAATGTGCTTCATGTTTCTGTGAAGGTGGCATTTTAAAAGGATGATCACCTGTTGCGTGTGTAAAATTTCCAGTATACTAGCTTTTGGCAGTGGTATTACTGGCTAGCTAGGTAGGTGTATGTTTTTGTAAATATATGCTGATATACATAGAATATAGAATGTGTGTGAGAACACATGATTTCCTCATGTGAGAGAGAAATAATTTTATCTGTTTTTGTTAAAACAAAAAAATATGTAGACAAATTTTTCATCCACTCCACTCTCTAGTTTATTGTCTCAGGACATATATATGAATCACTTCTTTAAAAGGTGGGAAATTAAAGTTCTCTTGTTAAAATATTTTTTTATGTGTTTTCATTTTTTAGGTAGAGAAGATTATCTGTAATTTAAAACCAGCTTTAAAACTTCGTCTTCGATTCATCACACATATTAGCAAGGTGGAACCAGCTACAGTACCTCCACAAGCCATAAATAGTGGGTCTCCAGCACCTCAGTCTAATCAGGTGCCAGTGTCTTTACCAGTAACTCAGTGAAGTCAGGGTGCGCCGTGGTGAAATGGAGATACACCTGTCTTTGAAAGTGGACTCAAACCTATTAAATCTGAACGTGGTCATGCTACACAGTGATGTAGTAGAAGCAGTGACGTTCAGATTGTTCTATTTTGATTCCAGTGGTGAATCTGTTGACACCTTATAACTCCCATCTCCCTGTCCATACTTATGTCTCTAAGAGATCAAGTAAACTACATGTTGTTCATATCCTTAGCAATTTATTAGAGCAGCCTAGGAATATCAAGGTATCTGTGATCAAAAGACTTTTATTAGATACTCTCAATCTTTCCTATTCTAGCCATTGGTTTTGTTTTTATATTTTATTATTATTGACTTATTTAGCCTTCAAATACATTGTTTTAAAGGCACCACACATGTAGAATAGTTATTGCATATCCTTTTATACATAAATCTCATTTGGTGTGTCTTTAAGATAAGAGATTTTTGTAAAGAAAATTTCATTGCATTGCAGTAAACACAGTTCCATGTTCTTTTTAAATGGCTTAAAATTTTTATCATGGACTTCTGGATAAATAAGCTAATGTTTCTAATCAAGGCAAGTTTTTGCCTTTGCTGTGGACTTGAAGTTAATTGTATGAAATGAGTTGGAAGTGACATAAGTAAATAACATAGCTAGAAATGCATAGACTTAATAAATTCATGTTTAAATATTGATTCTCCAATCTCTGTTTTTAAAAACAAATTGCCTTTCCAGGTTGTCACTCACCTGGCAGATGATGTGATTCTTTGAATTTTTATAATCTTAAAATTTTTAAGTATTTATTTTTTAAATGCAGTGTACATTTTGGTTCTCTAGGGTTTATTACATTTTGAGAGACTTTATGTTAATGTGGGGGGAAAATGGCATTAAGATTGTAAAAGACTTTAAAAATAATTAGTAAAATCTGTTAAATGAATAAATTGTCTGATTGGTTACTCAGTTTAAATGAGCATCTGCTGTGTGCCAGGCAGTGTGCTGTCGGGGTTGTAACGGAGAACCAGGCTACTTCCATGGGCTGTACAGTACAGCTGGTGACTGACACTGACCTAGGAATTAAGAGCTCTGCTTTTTTTTTTTTAAACTAGCGAAGTTTTCCCAGGTCGGGTAGCTCAGTAGGTTAGAGCATCATCCCAATACTCGGTCAGGGCACATACAAGAATCAACTAATGAATGTATAAATAAGTGGAACAAGAAATCGATGTTACACAAATGCGGGAGGAACCAAGATGGCGGCGTAGGTAACAGCTGCCACCGCTGCCTCCCGCAACCACATCAGAATCACAACTAAAATACAGAACCACCAACACTCAGAGCCTCCTGAAACCTGGCTGCACAGAAGCCCCGCAACCAGGGAGCTGAAGAAACACTGAGACCGGGAGGAGGGACGGAGACGCTGGCGGATCGGGGCTGAATCCCGGAGACGCGGACGCGGGCCCACACCCGGTGCCCCCGGTTAAACCCGGGAGGGAATCTCGGCGGTGGGGGTTTCCTGGAGAAGTGAGGGGTCCCAGCCCCACAGCAGGCCCCCAGCCCCAGGCCGGGAAGAGACGTCCCCACAACTCCAGGCTGTGAAACCAGCGGGGACTGTCCCTGAGGG